ATAGCAACTGTTAAAATTGCCTTATATCTATTAAAAATAGTAGATAAAATAGCACTTTAACCGCAAAGGTAGTACCATTTTATCGTCTTGTATAAAAAATAACTATGACTAATTTATCTCGGATATTTTTACTTCATTTTAACTATAATGTTCTTATACAGTTCGGTTCTTATTTCTTCTTAAGCTTAAACCGCTTTGCACAAAATTAAAAAAAAATAATAAAACATTTTTTGGACTAGGTAGTTGTGATGATTGCGGTGTGAGAAGCTGTGAAGCAATAAAATTATGTTTCGGGAGAGTTGAATATCCGGGAAAGTTGCGTTATTGAATGTTATTGCATCCAACAACCACGTAATTACGCCCTACTTTAGGTACGCGTTAACATTTTTTCGGCAATTTTATTAACATTTAAAATTGTCAGAATACAACGCGACGCCCAGTTTAAGTTGTTTTTCACTTAATTTTTACTACCCGAAACAACGTTATTGACTTTTCTATACAATCTATATCTACATTTACCTTATGAACGGGTTAGTTATTATCTATGATATTTGGTCATTTATCTGTAAAACTGCATATTCGAGAAATATATTTTTATATAGCTATTTATAATGCCTGTATTAATTAAATTTATACAGGGCGAGTCTTAAAGAAGTGCAAATATTTTCAGGGTTGGTAGATTTCGATAAAAAATTCATATTTTCTCTTTTTTGTTTTTCAAATAAGTCCAAAATATTCTATAGTAATATATAAAATCCTTAAGTGACTGACTCACTGATTAATCACGATCCTGCTCAAACAACTCAACGTAAGAAGCTCAATTCTTGGTACACAGGCTGGATTCCTAGGGTGTGAGGATAAGAAGGGATTTTCGAAATTCCAGTTCCAAGGGTGAAACCAATCAAATATTACAATATTTTTTATTAAAAAAGATGGGTCAAGTTTCCGAAAAAACGCTTTTAAACACCTATATTTTATTTTGTTTTTACATATTTTAAGATTTTTAAAATGTATACGGGTGTTTCTTGGCAATCTGGCCATTGATTAATCACGATCCTGCTCAAAAGCGCTTGACGTAAAAAGCTGATTTTTGGAAAACGGATTGACTTAAGGGTGTAGAGCTTCGATAAGAAGGAATTTTTCGAAACTTGAATTCTAAAGGGGTGAAACCACCCCTTAAATATTAGAATATTTTTCATTTAAAAACCGATTTCGGAAAAAAAATTTAAGTAAAATTGAAATCAGTTTTTTGGAAAAACTCTTAAACACGTATATTTTATTTTGTTGTTCTATGTATTTTAAGATTTTTTAAAAAATTTTACAGGGTGTTTCATAAAATATGACCATTGAGTAATCACGATTCTGCTTAAACTGCTTGACGTTTAAAGCTGATTTTTGGCAAACGGATTGACTGTGGGGTATAGAGGTTCGATAATGAGGTGTTTCTCGATTTTGAGAAATGTGAGAAAATTTTCTGCAGTTTGTATATTAATGAAAATTCTTGCTTTGCTTTATCATCACCATTACAAATGATTAATTCGACGCGAACGAAGTGGCTGGTGGACGCTAGTTATTATATAATTTTATTTTGAAAATTTCCAAAACAATATTTTTTGCTTAAATTTTGCGAACCACTGGATCGTTTCTGGGTTTTCTTTCTTGTAAATTTAATCTATTACCTATGTTGCCAGGGTACTTGTACAGGGTACCAGGGTTGTTTTTAGGGTGCCATATTACCAAGAAATAATTGTTTTTAACTAAAAACTAATAAATTCAAAAAAAAAATTCCAAAAAATTTTAAATATTGAATTTTTTTTGGCGTAAAAGTCTCATAATCGTGTTTCTGGGGTACCTCTAAAATATATTTGCACTTATTTAAAACTCACCCTGTATAAACACGTTAAAACACAAATGAAAGAAAATACATCTTAATTTATTAAAATATTTGAACTTTTTTTTGACGTTACTTGTTAAATTTTAATTACGTATACAGTTTTCCGCGACAATAAAATACATACAGAAAAAAAAAACCGTATTTCGACTTCCCACACCGCTGCGTTTGCTGTTTCGCTTTGTATTTGAGAGAGCACAACGTAATGATATTGCGAAACTTTTCACCTAATTAAAAGGATCCTACTAACATTAACCCCCTTTGTTAAATATGAACTTTTGTGTAATTTTTTTAGGGCCGACCGCCGCACCGCTCTCTCACGTAATAAAATAAGCGAGCCACCGGTGTGTAATTTTATTAAATTACAAAAGAATAACCCCCGTTTTTTGTTTCAATACGGGCGGCAAGAGGAAAGAGAAAATTAATATGTACTCTCGGTTTTGGCGGGTTTTTGAGTACTACTTGTTTCGTTTTTAAGGCGGGCTTTAATAAAAAATTAACATTTTTGTTGAGCTCAGCACGTGCATACTTTAAATTTTATTAATAATTTACTTTGTATATTATTTTTTAGTTTGTGTATTATATTTTATTAAATTTACTTTGCATTGTTGCATTTTAATGCGTTTGTCTTTATTAACTTTTGGAATAATTACGTAGACCGTGAATTGTTATGTTATTTTATTGTGTATGTATATTTTAGAAAACTTATCGTAACCCAAAAATCATACAGGGTGTTTTTTAAAAGTCGCTCACCTCTATAACTTTTTTATTACGAATTATCACCAAAACATCCTCTAGCCGTTAAATCGCTCGATTTGCATCACTCTTCAATATCTAAAGGTTCAACTGTGGATCTAGTATGGATTCCTAGCCATCTGGGTATAAGAGGTAATGAAGATGCTGATAAGATTGCTAAGACTGCGGCAAATGATGGAGATTTTATACCACTTGCATTTTCTATCTCTGAACTTAAATTTCTACATTTGTCCATAATAAAAAGTGGTATCCAGGCAGAGTGGGAAGTAACAGGAGATTCAAATAAGCTATATGAATGTAAACCTCAATTCTTTCAAGTTTCTGTAGCTCGGTCACTGTCCAGAAGTGAGGAAGTCATTTGGAATCGGCTCAGGTTGGGTCACTGCCATTTCTCCCATTCTTTCCTTTTAAAAGGCGACCCCCCGCCTAACTGCTCTCATTGTGGCAACCAATTAACAGTGTAACACCTCATAATAGAATATCCCTCCTTCAATAATTTAAGATAATCATTTGGTCTGAATGGCGATCTGGCTTCCGTTCTTGATGCTAATAACTTACATTCTTTGTTCCAATTTATTAGGGCATCAGGTTTGGGTTCATTAATATAGTTTAATTTAACTTTAATTTGATCTAAATGGCCCAGCAGCTGATGCGGCTTATATAAAATCCTTCTTCTTCCTCTTCTTTCTTTTTATTTTTTCAGACACAAAAACGAGATTTTATATGTTAGTATATGATATAAATCAAGATTGATTGACGTATTCAATTGTTTTCGGTTACTTCCCTATTTCACCGGAAATTACTACCACTTTTGATTTTTAAGTGACACTTCGGTTTTTTTTCTTCATTTGATAGAATGACATATCATATGTCAACTGTTGACATTTTTAATTAAAAATACTAGCATTTTAAATTTCAATTAAATACCAAGTGTGTGGTACCAAATTATTCGTAAAAAATGAATTTTCCAAACATGCTTATGTGCCTCCCTAGTTTTATTTGTCAAAATTGAGGTATCTAATAATCGGCCAGGTCAAGACACGAAAAACATTAGACAATCAAATCTATTTTTCCAAGGCTCCTTGATTAAAAATTAGTTTTTAACACAGCCATGGCACTCTACATTAAAATTTAAAATACCAATTGTTTAAGAGAATGTCAAAAATTGACATATGAAATGTCAGTCTATTCAGAGTGTCATTTACTATCAAATAAAGTAAAAAAAAATCGAGAGTGCCGTTTAAAAATCAAAAGTTGTCATTCTGGAGAAAAAGGAAGTGACCGAAAACAATTGAATATGTCAATAAATTTTGATTTATGTATTATGTAAATTTTCTCACATTTATGTCAGTATGAGAAAAAACAATATGGCGATATTATTATATAACTTGGTAATATTTGAGGGGTAGTTTTATCTCGTTGGAATTTGACTTTAAGACAGTTTAAGCAGAATCGTGGTTAAGAAATTACCCAACTTTTTGGAACACCCTGTATGATTTTTAAAAAAAATTCAAAATATGTAAAAAAACCAAATAAATTATGCTTGTCCAAGCGTTTTTCCGAAATACTAACCGTTTTTTAAATAACAAATATTGCAATATTTGAGGGGCGTTTTCACCCTCTTGGAATTTGAGATTCGAGAAACTTCTCCTTATCGAACCTCTACACCCCACAGTCAATCCGTTTGCCAAAAATCAGCTTTAAACGTCAAGCAGTTTAAGCAGAATCGTGATTACTGAATGGTCACATTTTATGAAACACCCTGTATAAATTTATAAAAAATCTTAAAATATGTACAACAACAAAATAAAATATACGTGTTTAAGAGTTTTTCCGAAAAACTCACCGGTTTTTAAATAAAAAATATTTTAATATTTGAGGGATAGTTTCACCCCCTTAGAATTCGAGTTTCGAAAAATCCCTTCTTATCGAACCTCTACACCCTAAAGTCAATCTGTTTTCCAAAAATCAGCTTTTTACGTCAAGCGCTGTAAGCAGGATCGTGATTAATCAACCAGATCAATGACCAGATTTTTCGAAACACCCTGTATACATTTTTAAAAAATCTTAAAATATGTAAAAAAACAAAATAAAATACACGTGTTTAAGCGTTTTTTCGGAAACTTGACCGTTTTTTAAATAAAAAATATTGTAATATTTGAGGGGTGGTTTCACCCTCTTGGAACTGGAATTTCGAAAAATCCCTTCTTATCGAACCTCTACACCCTAGAATCAACCTGTAGGCCAAAATTCAGCTTCTTACGTTGAGTGGTTTGAGCAGGATCGGGATTAATCAGTATGTCAGTCACTAGGATTTTATATATTAGTATAGATTATATATTTGAGTCTAATATCTTTAATCACAATACCATTTAATGTAAATTCGAAAAATTGCTATATATTATAAATAATACTTTCAATTTAAAATATAAAATAGAAGAAAAATAAAAATAATATAACAGTATCACTTTTATTCTAATTGTATTAAAACATCGCCTGCTGATACTTTATCACCAACTTCAATATTAAGCTCCTTTATTTTTCCACTCGATGGTGCTACTATCAGATTTTGCATTTTCATAGCCTCTGTAACAAGAAAATTCAATAGACCGTTTGATCGAAGAAAAAAAACGGTGTCAAGTTGCCTTGGAAATGACAATCAGTGACATTTTCCATAATTTAACGTAAAGTACCAACTTCGACGCCGTTTTTTTTATTGTATTGGTTTCAACCAGTAAAATGCTAAACATATCAAACTAACCTAAAACACATAACTCCTGACCATCCAAAACACTGTCCCCTTCAGAACATAATACTGACTTTACTAATCCTGACATGGGAGATTTTATTTTATTTGCCTTATAGTTGTTAGTCTTTTTGGGTATTAAACTGAAGTATTTTACAGCCTTTTGTGATAATATTTTTAGTTTATAATTATTTCCATAAAATCTACAAATTATTATAATTATTTACAACAATAAAAAATACATTAAAATATATTTACATAAGTTCAAAAACACCAGTAACATTTTTGGATAATATTTGAAAAATATTTATTTCTCCATTTATATTTAATTCTAGTATAGGTTTGGCAAAGTTAATGTTGCTTTTATCTATATTAAATACATTTTCATCCACTTTACATACAAAACGTCCATTACAATCGCTTACATCAACCTGAAATACTTCGTCACCTAATATTACATGTAAGTCCCAATTTTGCAACACTTTTGATCGTTTTTTAAACTCAAAAATATTTAGAAAATTCCTGCTTCTAACTTGATTGGCTGCAAACAGCACACACCCAACACCCACGAGTTTATGTTTTTCTTTTTCTTGAAGGTTTAAGCCTTTGAAACCTTCTGGGTAGACTTCGGGTAGAAAGCTTGTACTTAAACTCCCTTTTTTATATTGGTCTTGCATCAATATATCTCTAAGTAACGGAATGTTGTGGGTGATACCTCGAATAACGTAAGAATCTAAAGCTTTAATGCTTTTTTCTATAGCTTCTTGCCTGTTTTCTCCATGACAGATTAATTTTGATATTAAAGGGTCGTAGTACATACTTATTTTGCTACCCTCTTCAACACCACTGTCACATCGAACACCCGGTATGTGATGGGGTTCTTTATATTCATGCAACCTAAAAAAAAAATAACTCAGTATTTTGTTTAACTAATGTCTATAATTTTGTAGTGGAGAATAGAAGAAAATATGCTTGAGGAAGAATAGAAGAAAATATAATTTTTTTACTGCTATATGGATTATTTTTCATTAAAAGTCATTGGTGAGGACTGAGTTTTATTCATAAACAGATAATTTTCATACGTATCAAAAATTATGAAAAATAATAGATGATTCCATATAAGTTTGGTTGTGTGTATTATAGCGAGTTGCTGATGCTTTAGAAATAGGAATGTCAACAGTCAAAAAGATTGGAATGATAAATGACGAAGAGTTCAAGAAAAAAATATTAAATGCCGAAAAAAACGGAATTCGCTCAATCAGTAATATAGGAACCTATAGGAATGCACTTAAATTTTTCTAAACAATACGAACTGATCTCAGACACACCCTAAAACTCATATTTGACAAATGATGACGTCAAGGTGGACGATGGCTGAACAGTCTTTACTTTATTTCATTTGTAATTACCTTCCTATACTAGGCAATCCAAAACTCTTGTAAGGATCCTCTGCATAAATTCTTGTTTCTATCGCCCATCCATTTATGCCAATATCTTCTTGTGAGATGTTTAACGGATGTCCTTTAGCAATACGAAACATCTGCTCCACTAAATCAATACCCGTGGTACATTCTGTGACTGGATGTTCAACTTGAAGTCTCGTGTTCATTTCCAAAAAGTAGAAGTTCTTGTGCTTATCAATCAGGAATTCGATAGTACCCGCCGAGAAGTACTTTAACTTTTTGCAGAGCGATATAGATTGGACCCCCATTGCTCTTCTTGTAGTTTTATCTAGAAATACACTAAAAATAATAAAATATGGTTTTGGTGATTTAGATTTTGGTTCTCTAGTTCAGATGGATGCATTTTTGAGTTATATTATTACCTTGGTGCTTCTTCGATCACTTTTTGGTTTCGACGTTGTATGCTACATTCTCTCTCGTTCAGATAGATCACGTTTCCATGTGTGTCTGCTAGAATTTGTATTTCTATATGTCGGGGATCTTCTACGTATTTTTCTATTAGGAGTCTGTCGTCTCCGAAACCGGATTTAGCTTCTTGAGATGCCAATAGAAAGCCTTCTCTAAAATTAAAAAAAAAACAATAATACACTGAATCACTTGGATTTTATAGATTTTAGGTTTGACGACTGCAGAGCTAATGGCATGGGTCTCAAACCATTCCATATACCGTGCTGGCAACTCTTACTTTTGGGTCTGTTTGTACAAGTACTTGTACAAACCAATGTTTGTAAAAGTACCTTTGCCAGCCCTTAGCATATATCAGCTATCACTGAAGAGAATAAACCATTATAAATCATTTTGAGCATAAAACTTATCGTTAACTTGAAATTAAGAATTATGCAGACAGCATCTCAAGGAGTTCCATCGCTCCCGTTAAGAGGCAGGGAAGTTCTTTCGGAAAATGTTATGTCTGTTATACTTACACACTTAAATGTCTTTTGCTATTACCTTGCTTCCTGATCGTTTCTCGCCACTCTCATGCCTTTACCTCCTCCACCAGCTGACGCCTTGATCATAACCGGATATCCGATGTCTCGAGATATGCGGACACACTGATGCAGGTCCTTAACAATCCGGTCGCATCCGGGAATGACGTTCACTCCGGCCGCCAGCGCCGTTCGTTTCGATTCGAGTTTGTCGCCCATTCGGCAGATGGCGTCAGCTGTGGGCCCGATGAACACCACGTTTTCCGATTCCTGAAACAAGTACGTGTCAGATTGGTGGCGAGATCGGAAAATAATCTAGGATAGATTCAAACACTGTTCGTTGTGATGTGAAAATGGTAATCTTGTCGCTTTCAGATTCGCACTGTCGCTTTCAGATTCACACCGTCTTCGATATGCCTTCGCTGGCCGAATTCCGAATTAAAGCAAATAAGTGTTTTATGCGTTGACCGCATAATGATTGGTGCCTCCACCGTACATCAGTTGAGTCGTAAGGGGAAATCAAATCAGTCTTGTCACGAATTCCCTTATTGGGTTGCGTATCTTTCCAATTCTTTCAATCAACGATATTAGTATTAGAATTGCTATGAAATAATTTTCAACTTAATTTTTATTGTTGTCGATCCAATAATATATAATGTGTTCTTTTTTTATAAATTGGATTAGGATCGAAAGAAATCAACAGAAGTCCTTTGTTTTAAATTTGTCGACGTTTCGCAAAATTTATTTGCATCTTCAGGACACTACAAAGTTAAGAGAGCAAAAATTACAATCAAATAAAAGCTTTTTCAAAAATTTAACAAACAACTTAAAATACATATCAGTGGAATTCCACACATATACAATTGGTAAAACTACCTTAATGTTAACAATTAAATAAAATATATGTATATGTTACTCACATTTAAATCTGGACCTTCTTAGTCATATCCATTAATACACGGATGGTATAGAGGGGAGTGGTATATATCCCTTTTTTCCTTTTTAAACACATAACACACTTACATAAAAAAAAACATATAACACAATTATGTATAGAGAAATATCACGAAAATCTTTTCCTTTCACAGACAAGCAGTGCAGATGTACCTACGTTGACCGTATACAGAGAATGAACATAAAAATGATCAAAGGAACTTTCTTTTGAAATCTAATCCTACCGCATTAGTAGAACACAAAATAGAGACAGGCCATAACTTCGATTTTGACAATACCACTATTTTACAAACACAATCTAATTATAAGAAAAGATTATTTGCAGAGATGATAGAAATCCAAAAAAACAAAAATTGCGTTAATAAAAGAACAGACGTAGAAAACCTAAGTACAGCATATTTTAATATTCTTTCAAAAATTAAATAATATAACTTCAAAATAATGGTTTAAATCCAAATAATATTTTTATATGTTTTTTTTTCAACTGTTCTTTATCTCCAGGTAAAAATTATATTAGTATTTTATCAACTAGAATTAGATTGCTCTCTGTATACGAAGTCAACGTAGGTACATCTGCACTGTTTGTCTGTGAAAGGAAAAGATTTTCGTGATATTTCTCTATACATAATTGTGTGTTATATGTTTTTTTTTATGTAAGTGTGTTATGTGTTTTAAAAGGAAAAAAAAGGGATATATACCACTTTCTCTATACCATCCGTGTATTAATGGATATGACTAAGAAAGTCCAGATTTAAATGTGAGTAACATATACATATATTTTATTTAATTGTTAACATTAAGGTAGTTTTACCAATTGTATATGTGTGGAATTCCACTGATATGTATTTTAAGTTGTTTGTTAAATTTTTGAAAAAACTTTTATTTGATTGTAATTTTTGCTCTCTTAACTTTGTAGTGTCCTGAAGATGCAAATAAATTTTGCGAAACGTCGACAAATTTAAAACAAAGGACTTCTGTTGATTTCTTTCGATCCTAATCCAATTTATAAAAAAAGAACACATAATTTTCAACCTTTGATCCTATGTCATCCATAAATTGTAAATAAACACTTACGAAATATTTTTTGTTTTTTGATTACATTTTATCCAATAATTAATAAATTATCTAATATTAACGATAAAAACATATTTATCTACAAACAATGAGCTTTTTGCACCACGGCATTAAATTTAATTAGTTCAAAAAACAAACTTAATGTAAATATGTGCTAATTATCGAAAATATAAATAAACATGATGACAATTTAATATGTTTTAAAAGGCTAGTTAATATTATATATTGCAAGAGTTAATTTGAAACTGGAAAATCAAAAGAATGTATGACGCTATATATTTTATATATGAGTTTTAGTTAATAATAATAACGTTAATTAACTCTCCCTAATAAATACATATATTATTAAATTACACTTTTATACGATATATTTTAATATATTATATATAAAAAATATTTTTTCACGAATTTTAAACTACACCATTTAAAAATCATTTTTAGTAAAATATAAATAGTTATTTTTGATATAAGACGATAAAGATGAATTCATGAGCGATGAAAATTAATTTCGGGAGACGATAATGCAATTTTATCGTCGTGTATAAAACAATATTTTTTTTCATAACAAGTTTTATAAAAATACATAGATACATAGATACATTTTAAAAAATATTCGGAAATTATTTCAAGGAATTTATGACGAGTAGAAAAAATATTGTGCTGGGTTGGCGTTCGTTTCTATGTAATTTGACAAATAAATAAAGCTGTCTCTTTAGTTGTGAGTTTTGAGTCAATATTTTTTAATTCTCTTTCGTGTCGATTGTTGATGAATTAGAGCCAGAACTGGCTCAAAACGAAATAAGTAAATTACCAACAGATATTCAGGCTGAGGCGACAAACGCCATATCCAAACTACTTCCATTTAAATCCCGAATAACTTATGAAAAGGAATACAAATATTTTCAAAAATGGAAGCAATTAAAAAACGTGCGAGAAGAAATAAAGTTTTTAACCTATCCTCGCTGTTAAAGTATCATTTAATCTACCCTTGCGGTTAAAGTGCTATTTTATCTACTATTTTTGATAGCTATAAGGCAATTTTAACAGTTGCTATGGAAAAAATAAATTACAACCTTTCAAAGGCCAGCTGGCAGGAAGCGCCATTAAAAAATAAAAAAGAGTTCGGGCCAAGTAAATGACGTTTAGGCTTGACCTCGCCAAAATTATGATCGATTGTCATTCCTCAGCCGACTATGACGCCGTTTTTTTCGATCGTATGACATAAATTTGCCCAACAAAAGAATATTTGACGGTGACGGTTGTTCTTTTGTTTGTCATTTTAATTGAATGAAAGTAGAAGGTATGAAAGTATAGTAAGTCCAAAGTAGATACATTGTCTGTCATTTTTTTTATGTCGTCTGTCGAAACAAAGCTTAGTAATACATGAAACCATACCAATATTTTAACGAATTCTCGATTTTCTGACAGAAATCCGTATCCAGGATGAACAGCGTCAGCATTTGTTTTCCTAACTGCTTCCAGAATTTTATCCACATTCAAATATGATTCTATTGCTGAAGAAGGTCCTATAAAAACAGCTTCGTCCGCCATTTTGACATGTTTCTAAAAATATTTGACAAAAATAAGGTATTGTGAATATTAAAAACTTGATTACACCCCAAACACATTTTAGGTTTGATATTCTTTTTTAATGTTTTTTTTTCTTTTTGAGCACCTTGTATGGATTTGTCAAAATAACATTCTGAATACAAAACTAACATATCATATGTCAACTTTTGACATCTTTGCCTACTAATTTTTAACCAAGGATCCTTGGAAAAATATATTTGATTGTCTAATGTTTTTCATGTATTTTCCTTGCCGGTTAAAAGATGCCCAAATCGTTTTTTAATTATAACTCATTTTTCAAATGGAACTAGGGTGGCTCATAAGCATATTTGGAAAATGCATTTTTTTTACGAATAGTTTGGTGCTACATACTTGTTAGGTATTTCGAGTCAAATTATCCATATGAACACAACCACATGCATTAGCGTAATTAGCAATTTATCCTGGGGTGGGCCGGGGGCTGGGGTGCTGGTGGAGCACACAAGGGGCCTAGGGCTTTTGTGTTTTTAAAATTGAAAAATAATTTAAAAAACACGTTTTTTTAATAAAACGTTTACATGAATTTCTCTATCAATAAATTTCATAGACTTGGTTATCAAACTAAATCTACAAATTTTCTAGAAAAATAAAAATTAACATAATTTTTGAACACAACAAAATAATATTAACTAAACAAAACTAGAAAACGTCATTTTTACTGCATCACAAGCAAATAAAAATTAATACGTAGCCAAGAGTCATAATTCAGGATTTCTCTGGGGGTGCCCAGCAGTACCGAGGGGGGGGGCTCCCCAGGGCACCCCTGTAGTTACGCCAATGACCACACGACACTCTAGATTGAAATTTAAATTATCATTTTTAAGCGAAAATGTCAAAAGTTGACATATGAGATGATGACATGATTGAATATTCAGAATGTGATTTTTTATCGAATAAAAAAAATATCGAGGGTATCATTAATTAAAATCAATGACTAAAGAATACAAGAACATGTAACGCCCATATACGGACTGCAGCAAAATTTGTTACGTTAGACGCCATCAAATTGGAGCTTACGGACGAGTCACCACCACGTCAACAGCGACAATTTAAGCAATTTTTAATAATTTGTTGTGTGTAGTGAACTTTGTATAAATTTTATTACAATGGTGATGTGTTCAGCTTTCAAGTGTAACTTATTAACTAACTAACTGTGAAAAATAAAGTCCCAACCCTAGTCAACATTTTTCTTAAGCGCCTATTTGTGCGGTTTGAAGATTTGATGCAAAATCCTGCAATACCGCATTAGAAGCTTTGAATAAGAAGACTAAGGAAGGAGCGTATCAAAAATCTTAGGTCCACCGCGATGGTACTCAAATATGGCCGACTTAAATTCCGGTTTATCAGTGCCGTTCTAATTTTATTTAAAAAATGTAAAACTATGATGTAGGGTAGACGTGGGGTAGACTCAATATTTTTTTTTATTTTCCGTTGTGAATAAATATTGGTAGTTATTAAAATTGTTATAAAAACATATTATTATAATAAAAATAGATAAGTTTTAATAATTATTTATTAACACAAACATCCGCTACGCTACTGAAGCAGGTAAGTCAAATTGACGTATCTAAATTCTTTGACATCTAATCTTTAACAAGTAGTAAATAAAAGCAAAAATGCAAGAAAAAATATATAATTAGTTAATTTAAGTGAATTTCATAAATGTACGGTTTACTACACGTAGGTATATTATATAGTCACTTACTAGCGAAAAGTTGTTTTCACTCGATTTTTGCCGAGATCTACCACACGCTACACAACCAACTATTTTAGAGTCTTTTTCGATAAATCGCGTTAGTGTCACTGTTAATTTAAGTTCTGCCACAATTTCCATCTAGATTTACTACCTTTATACAACTAGATCTTAGTAGTAGAATAAATAATAAATAACATAAAATAAGCTCTGTAAAGACTGACAAATCCACAAAATTTCAAATCAAATTGAAATGTGTCAAATGAATCGTCAAACAGGACTGTCAATGATCCCCACCCTAGAGTCCTTTTTCCGCCCACCATGCATGAATACATGGATACCATTATGCTCCTTCCTTAGTCTTCTTATTCAAAGCATAGAAGAGATGTATTAACCCAACTTTTATTTCTTTTTAATACATTTGATTTGTCATTCAGCTGTCTACATCACTGTATTACACGTTAAAATCCAGACCACGCAGTTTGGATGACCAGATAGGTATACCGAGAGTTTCACTTAATTAGTATTTTTGTGCTAAAAAAATTCTAAAAAACAAATCTTTTGTAAACCATAAAATTTTGTTTTGTATGCAACTGCATACATAGTTACCTTTATTTTCGCGCTATTTCTAAAATTATTTCCGAATAAAAAACGGTAAATATTTGGTGTAAAACATGAATCGAAAAATAATTGAAGGGGCAAACATGAAGCAATTTTTGAACGGTGCATGTCGATCCGGTTTTTCGGGAATAGGGTTTGCTTAAAAGAACAACAAAAAATTAAAATTTTGTTTGTAGCTGCTCCGGTCGGATTTTGTAATTTATTCCGATGTTTACCGGCTTTGTAATTCTTTCCGCATGTTTTTTCACAGAATTTTAATTGTTTGTCTACGGAAATTCACAACAGTTGAAATAAATGCACCTGTCTGTAATTTTCTCTTTCCAAAAATAATTGTAATACACAGAGATATCAGAAAAGAGAATATATAGTTTCGCAAAAAAACTTTAACTAAGTTTTTTTTTCACACAACTAGTTTATTAGAAGTTTTAGGATCAAATATTGATACAAATCTGGACATATTTAGTGTTATAAGTTTATTTGGTGTGATCTATATGTATAGTTTGCCTTTGACGATTAATCTAATACTGCATAAAAAAAATAAATACTAACTGCTTGCGAATCTGCAACGGAATAAACTGCTACAGTTTTTATCCCCATCTTTTTGGCCGTTCTTATAATTCTGCATGCTATTTCACCTCTGTTAGCAATCAACACTTTTTTAAAAGTGGCTTCGTTTGTTTCGAGCACACCAGACAAGTGCAGATGCCTCTTCTGCACGTGCAAGAATTTTTCCTGAAAATAACGAACCTGGTGATCATATTTTAAATTTAACACCAGTTGACATTTATTTACTTAAATGCGATTAATAAATATTATATATTATATTGTGTTATACAAAATCTAATATATAAAATTCACGTGTCACAGCTTTATACAGGGTGACAATTTGAAAACGAACAGTATTTAATATTACCTCTAGCGATGATAGTATGCAAATTTGGCGAGAGAAATACGTTAATTTACATATCAAGAGGGACAATTTTTGAGGCCTTTGTTGTCGTGTTACTTTCAACCCTTTGACCCCCAGGGCACCTACCTCTTAAATTTTAAATGGCAACCCCTATTTCTTTTACCATTTTTGTTGTTCCTTATAAAATTCTCAAAAAAATAATGCAGTGTATGTAGAATTCTATAAGACACACAAAAATGGTAAAAGAAATAGGGGTTGCTATTTAAAATTTTAGGGGTAGGTGCCCTGGGAGTTAAGGGGTTGAAAGTACACACGACAACAAATGCCTCAAAAATTGTCCCCCTTGATATGTAAATTGACGTGTTTCACCAAATTTTAATACTATCATCGGTAGAGGCAATATTAAATACTGTTCGTTTTCAAATTGTCACCCTGTATAGTACTCAAACTCCTCCGAAACGGCTTAACCGATTTTGATGAAATTTTATAGTGTGTAGGTCTGTGAATAGGTTGTTATCTATTTTTTATACCTCTGTGGTACAGTGACAAGGGTGGTCCACCTCAATTTTTTTTGAACAAAATTTTTTATTTTTATTTTTTTATGATATGGCTTTAAAAATACATACAACCCTAAATTTTGACCCTTCTACCATCAACCCCTATTCTTTAATAGTGATATTAGTAACTCAATAATTTTCTACCCCGTGAATAAAAATGAATGTTGTCCCATAAATATATTTATGTGGCAAAACAACGTTTGCTGGTTCAACTAGTATTAGATAATATTAATTATCAACAATTTTATTTTTTAGAAATTATTTTCAAATAAATATTATTGATTTATAATAATTTAATTATTTAGTTGATCATATTATTGTTTAGACCTACCCTAAATATATTACAACACGTACAGGAACTCCTCCAAACAAACAACTTTTTTAACACCATTTTCAAACCAGAAGACCGAACACTAACAACACTAGACGTGATAAATCTCGGAGTCGACTGCAATGAGAACCATTTTTTCTGATCGACACTATGAATAAACAGACAACAAGGACAGATATTGTTGGTGATTTCGTCCAAAGTTCGGGCATCTCTTATCAAGAAAAGGCAAAAAACATTCTTTGGTGTTAATAAATTCTATTGATAAATTTGTTTTTATACGAGAGCAATAAAATTGGTATATTGTAAATGTCAGAGGTTAATTGATTGGATCGTCTAAAGTGCGAGATGCATCATCTCTTTGTTATATCTATTATGAAAATGGGAATGACAAAACAAATGGTAATTTCAATGTATTCTCTCGTTCTGTAAAATAAATTATTACAATCTTTTGTAGATCCAAAGAATTTTTGATTTCTCTTTGTTTTTGACAAGAATTCACCATTAAAGGTTTTTCGCATTTGTTTTGTTTACACCCTGTATCAATAAATAAAAAAATATACGCGATGTCTCGCACAATATTTTGTTCGTCCCTCGTATTTAACAGTACCGAAAACATTTCCCATTACATTCCAAACAATTATTAGTACAATCTTTGTCAGATTTTCTCTATGTGTATAAATAAAGACCCACCTCAAACACCTACAAAAGGAATTAACAATTGAAACGATCGTCTCTGACCGTGCAAAATTTAGGTCGCAAGTGTTTCGAACAGGATAACAATTAAATAGATCGAATAAGACAAAATTTCACGGTCCTTATTCAAATTATAACCCGTGGGGGATGACAAATATGGGTAGTTGATAAGGGTAGAGGAGACGGCATATAGCACGGCCGAAGAGAAAGGCGGTTTTCGGGGAGTTATGCGCATCAAATCGGCGGAATTATTTTACACAAAAGCAATTTAACAAAAGGCCGCAATTTCAATTATTTAAGGCAGATGCGAGCGTGTATTTGCAAGCGTGCGCGCTCGCCGGTCCTACTACCGTAAATTCTGGTAATTGTTAGTTTCGAAATCCTTTTGCGGAAGCAATTTGCCGCGGATGCGACGAGTTATGGCGTTTGGGTTTCGGTTTTGTGTCTTTCTTGCTTCGTTAAATTAGAAATCTATAGCATTAATTGGTTAAAAATATTCGATTTCCATTGACCTTCTTTAATAACTAGCTGACCAGCTAACTTCGTACCGCCTAACAGTGATGTGAGACTATTTTTGTCGTCTTATGATAGTTTTAGCACGGCATATAAATCACACGGCAGGCTAACTCTCTTTGGCGGGAACGCTACGCGCATACCGTCGCGCACGCCGCCATTAGGGTTTCCATCAACAGAAAGTAACCAGTGTCGTAATTTCTTTCATCGACTGCGCACACTTTCGGCTGATTCGAGTCAGTAGCGTACGGATTAATTTATTTTGTTTATTTATTGAGTTATATTTTATAGTTGTTGTTTTATTTTTGTTTATTGTGTTATATATTTGGTTTTTCTAGTTTATTTTCGTTTCTTGTGTTATATAATTTATTTTTGTTTTTCTGAACATTTTTAAATCGTTAATTTTTACGTGTTTTTAAAATGCCTGGGCGAAGTTGTGCAGCAAAAAACTGCCCGAGTAGAGGACTAAACTGCAATAAAAGTTTCTTTCTGTTTCCTAGAGATCCTATTAGGTATGTATATATGTGATTAATTATTTTAACATATTTTAGTTGTGAAAAAAAACAGTAGTATACATATTAGGACATTCAGCTAAATAGGAAGATCTAATTAAAAATCTTAACAAACTTTAATAGTAGTATGATTTAATGTTAAATATTTAGTAAAATAAAATTTAATGTTGTATCTAGAATCTAGACATTAAAAATTAATTTTAAAAATCATTATATTATTCATTTAAATATAATTATAAAAATAAATAAAATGATTATATCAAAAATAAGTTAACAATACATTTTTAGGGCAAGAACATGGGCAATTGCAGCTAATAGAGAAGACTTGATTGAAGATATAAATAAGGCCCACAAGTACAGGTTGCGTTCTGTTCACTTTGAATTTAAAATGTTTACCAATTCACTTTGTAACCGTATAAAATACAATGCGGTACCTACTTTGTTTCCTGCCATGAAAAAAATAGAAGTTTCTCAAAAAAAATTGTGGATTTATTAATTTGTGAAATTTGAATATTAATAAAATTTGCTACGCCCATTGATGTAGCCTCTTTATATTGTTCAATAAATATTTTATTGGTATTTTTTTAATTCTTGTTTGTAACTCCTGGCATGTTTTTGTTAGTTGCATGTTTTTTAATTTTAATTGTCTATTCTCTACAGTGAAATATTTAATTGATTTTTTCATTTTTACTTTTCGAGAAGTATGCGCGGTTGACGATTCATTTGTTTGGACAAAAGTATTGTGTAAATAAAATTCAGTTTCAGTCAATTACAGTATTTTTTTAATACGACTCTGTCGTATTTTATGAGAAATTTTTTAATACGTTTTAATCCGGCCCTGACTAGGAAACCATAATGGCGCCGACAAGGTCAAATTTTATAGAAATTTTAAACAATGGAATCTGAGTAGAGTTGGCGTGCCGATTGTTTTATGTGCCGTGGTTTTAGGTCAGTCATCTTTTATGATTGACCGAATCATCTAGGATGATTGAGACCGATCGATTTGACAGTTGTCTCTTTGAAAATTCTCAATGCTCTTCAAATATCTTTCTATATTTAAATATGGTATTTTCCCAATATTTTCAAAGTGGTGCACCACAGACTTATTTCAAAATCTACATTCGTTTCTAAACAAGTCAATTTACTTCAGGGTCATCAATGAAATGAAACAATTTTTTTCTATATCAAAATAAGCATTTTGATGCATGGAAGACATCAGTGTATCAAATATAACATCAGATATTTTGAAAAAAAAATAGAAAATTTTACCACCCTCTATCTGAAAAGTTAAGTTACCATGTCATTAAGGAACACCCTGTATGGTTTTCTCTTTCTTCGTCCTTCATCCTACGTGAAAGTATGGTGAATCATGTATTGATTCCCCTCACTTTCTTGGACTGAGTTGTTCGACATTGCGCCATATGTGAGGCTTCGGGGAGGTTGTGGTCCACTAGGGTTTTGACTTGGTCTACCTCTCTTAGGTGACCTTCCACGTAATTGTCTCCCCTCCGCCCTCACTCTCTCAATTGAGGTGCCACTCCTGGCAATATGGCCAAAATATCGGAGTATTGACTGATTCAACCTGGTAACCAAACATTTGGTAACAAAGTATGGCTTTACCAAACTTAAATAAACGAACTTTATTTTTCTAATTCGTCTATATCCACAAATTAAGAGCCACCTTACTTCAGGATCGGCCGGTGATGCTAACCGAACCGGCTAATTTGGATCAGGAACTTTTCCGGCAAACATTTCCAGATAAAATGCCCCGATCTGGAAACGAGAAACGAACATAAACGGAAAAAGGCGAGAGGAAACGAGACAGAGATCCAGATTAAAAACAAGTTTTGTTGCCGTTGTTTCTTCGGGAAGAGAGTTAAGAGATTAGGCTTTGTGTGAGGTCGAATTTAAAGAGCGGCGCCATTTTAAAGTTTTATAAGGGGGCGGCGGGAGGGCGAGGGACCCGGGGGGACCACGGTGCTGTGTCCCCGCTGCCGGCGATTAAATAAGTTCCGATCTTTACGAGAATCAATTTGGATGGAATCGAATCAGTGGATTTAACTCCGGCAAATCTTTACGATGGAAGAAAAGTTAGGGCGTGGGTCGAAAGAACGGAAAGCGGCAGGTAGAGGTTTTATTTCGATGAGGCTTTCGACTTTTTCTTAGTTTTTTCTTTTTCTTTTGGAGAAACAGAATTAATATAGTAAGTTTACGATTTGTTTCAATAAATCGGAAAAATAATTTCTTTGCAATTCATTAATCCTTGTCTCTTGGTCATGCCATTTCTTATCCTGGATCAAGTATTTTATAGTCAAATATAACATTTAGTATTGTCTTTAATATATCTTTGAATACAATTTATTAAATAAAAAGAGTAATTTTTCCTCGTGATGTTCAGATGGTTTTAGAGCTCAGTTTTTTACTATAAAATTGAGGTTGAATTGTAGATCTATTGTGTTCCACCACCTTGTGTTCTTGAGTTATAACTCATCATACAGTTTCAGTGCTTTGACAAAATTCAGTATCTGAGACGGCTCTACAGGAGCCAGCTCTCCATCCTCGACATCAGCCGTACCAAAGTTCATGGCACGAACGGTCGTCGTCTCGGTGCACTCAGTGGTAAGGTGTTCTGGTGTTTCTCCATTTTCCCCACATCAGAATCTGCATTCGCCGTTGTTTCTTAGCTTCAGCCTTCTGAGGTGTTCGTTGAGAAGGCAGTATCTTGTTCGAAACCTCGTGACAATTTATTATCACATTTTTATATTTGACGCATTAACTATCTTTTCATAAGCTTTACAAAATTACTTTAGAAAATAGAATAATCTATCTGTCCAAAGTATTTCACTCTTGGCCCAAAATGAATATGCAAAGAAGTTCTTGCTACAAGAACAATAGTCTCTTTGATTCATGCAAAAATTCTTGATTGAAAAGGGACACTTTTCTTAAACCAATATCGAATACAATTGACTCAAATAAAATTTATTTTGATCTAAGAGAAGTCTATACATCATATACAGGCATATTACGATGTACATTATTTTCTGATAAATTTAGGTTTTCCTGGTCTGTAGTAAGTAAAGTGATATTATTTTCCTCGATAGTAGTAATTTCTGCTTCTTCACTCCTTTGTATTTTTTGGTGGTTCATCACTCTACAAATTACAAAAAAATGTTACATCACGATTAATCAAATAAATCAAAGTAAAGCAAATAAATTATTAAAATTATAAGTTTGGGTCACATTTTGAATGTTTTAATACGACGCGACGATTTGAAATTCTAAAATTTTTGTAATTATTCGCATAAAAAAATCGATACCTATATTCTTATTCTATATATAGTCACGAATGCATTATCTAAACAGGTGCATTAGGTTAAATGTCCCTTACCTTCAAATATAGCAAATAAATGCTCTAATTTTCATTTTTTCAGAAACTCCTTTAAATATATCCATATATCC